CTACAGAAGTTTTAACTGCTACAATGAACTCTTTGAAACAAACTTATTCCTATCCAACAGTTGTCAAGTACATTCTCACAATGCTTTTGAGATGCTTGTTGACGTATTTTCAGTATGAACCAGAATCAGGATGTTTCTGGTTTGGCACAGATCATGAGCACTATTGGTGAAATCTGTCAAATGATCAGCTCTTGAGATATTAAAATTCTCATCATACAAACAAGTAGTGCTACTGAAACCAGGCAACTCCTACTTTGTGTTGGTTTTGGCTGGTACATTGGAACCAGTCTCACCCTATTCATCATTTACACCGAGAAGTTCAGAGTTGCGCTCAGCAGTCACGCTGGTTGCTTACTGAGATCAAAATGTTGATTTCTCTGAGGTTTGCCCAATACCAATAACTGCATATGGAGGATAAGTAGCAAGAGATTTTGTAATATGCTCACCCTGGTTTGGAGACTATTTCCCGTAAAACCCGTACTGCATCATCATTGCTCATGTTCTCAAAATTGACATCATTCACCTGAAACGTTGTAAAAAGTAGAGGTCAGGCTTTGCAACTGGAAAGTTAGACATTTTAATTACTTGTTTCCAAATTTATTTGCCTTGTCACTGATTCCATTTCTTCGAGAAGCTGCAGAAATACTGTTTCTCAGAGCACATCAACTACCCATCAGAGTTCACAAAGAATTATAGATTTAAGTGAGGATAGTCTTTGTGACACATTTCTGAGTGTACGAATGAATTCTGTTAACTAAGTCCACGGATCTGGTGGGATGACTGAGCTGAGCCACCAAGGTACAAGCCAGCAGCACGTATTTTTGGACACAGACCAACCTGCAGAAGCATGTCTCCTGGTTCAATTCGGCCATCTGCTGCCACAGCCCCTCCTTTCATAATAGAGCCAATGTATATGCCACCATCACCCCGGTCATTGCTCTGTCCTACAATGCTGATTCCCAGGAAGTTATACTTTTCTATACAGATAGAAAGTGGAGGGTGGGGGGGGAAAAAAGCAAACAAAGTGATTGGAATGACAGAGAAGAGCTAACACCAGGCTACTTCAGTTTTGAAAAAATGAATTCTCTCAACACATCAGCTGGCCCATGTTGGTCTTACAATTATCTCAGGTTACCCCATGGGCCTACATCTGCCTGGCACGTTTAGGGAAAGGCAGCAGGGAAACGCTGCTAAAGACATTATTTTTTCATACAGGACACTGAAAAGTTACATTCAAAAAATCAGAAAGAGAAACAACATTGAAAAGACATGTCTACACCTAGAAATTAGGCACCCGATCAGCATTAGGCAATGTTTCTTCCACACGTTAAGGTTGCAGGAAGAATTTGGTGCTACTGAAAGGTGCTGAACTGGTAGCCCTGCACATTTTTATCAAACAATGAAATGCATGAGCAGCAGAAATGCAAACCTCCAATGCCCTTCTACTCCTGCTCCTAACAATCTCTGACCCCCGATAATTCCTAGAAATAAGAGCAGAACTCCGTATCCTGGAGTTCCAGCTCCTTCCATGGGCTTCTCAGGAAGAATACTGATCCGGCTCTGCAAATGGCTCAGACCTATCCAGAACTGGACTGGGAATCCAGGCACAGTCAACAGAGTAGTGACTCTCAGCTGCCATTCCCTTTAGTTCAATTGGCATCCTTTCAAATCAAGGAACTTTCCACTGGCTCCAAAAGCTACTACACCGTAACAACATACATCTGTATCACTTGAAATTCATCAAAAAAACATTGCTTATCCTCTTACCCATGTTAAGTGTGACAGTGATGATATTTAGGGACATGGTAGAATCAGTGATGCTGCTGAACGAAGACGACTGCAAAATACAACAGAAAATTCTCAAGGTTTGAAATGGCTCAGAATAAGACAATAAAAATAACTACTGAAGATTAATTCATCAGGAACCGATTAATAGGTTTCCGTTTGGAAGGCATCAAGAAACCATAGTGGCCGCCTCAAAATTATTCTTCATTTAGAATCTGTAAGGAAAAAAAAATCTGAACACAATCTGCACTTTCTCCGAAGATTTGTGTACAAAACATACAGAGCAAGTTCCTGTATTGAGGTTTCTCAACTGAACTTGACATTGAAGCACTTCTGCTTCCTGACTGCATGACTGACAGGCAGACATTTAGATACTAAAGTGCCCAGCATAGTGTCAATTATTATTGCAACTACAGTTCCTCCCTAAAGAGAGGAGTGAACAACACATGATCCTTCAGGAAGTGAGAAGACAGACACTCCCCCCGCTCCAAAACTAAATACAAATGTGCTTATCAAATACCTTCTAAAACATTACTCCAGTTCTTGTGATAAAATGTACGCATACTCATTCTTTAATCTGTTAAGACTGATATTTAAAGGAGAACGGACCAGTTACTTCAAGAAGTGTGTCATTTGGACCATCCTCATTCTGCTACCATAGGACTAGCACAGAAAAGGGCAAGAGAAAAGATTTGCCATTTCCTATAAACGTCGATTTCTCCTTTCAGCAGAATGCAAGTCAGCAATTTATACATCAGATGTCTACCACCACAGACACCCCTTGCCCACATCAGCCAGTAGCATAACGGAGGTTCTCCTGCAGACCCTGGTCTTGAAAGAGACAACAAGAAATGCGATCACTTAATAGTAAAAGGAGAAAGGGAGAGGAGACAAAGAGTCTTGACTCTAGTGCTGCAGAACTTCAAATGTTAGAGATTTAGTCCAGGGTAGATTGGAGCCAAAGGGAGCCGTTCCAGTGAATTCAACAGGGCACAGACCTGTTTTGGATCCCTTCCTAATTCACATGCTACGCTTAAAAAAACCCACGGTTCACCTCCTCGGAAAATTATGATGCCAACCTTACCCTGTCAATCTGCCGCATCCTTTGTTTCCTCCTCCTGCGTTTATGCTTCCGTATGAGCCGGGATGAAGTACTTTGCTCAGTGGAGCTACTCAACCTAAGGGAAATTGAGAGCAAATGTCAACTCTGTAAAGCTGAGCCATTTGCATTTCTCTGTACCCTGCCAAAAAAAGGCTGATTCCTACCAATGCAGGAGAGATTAAATCATACAGACACCATCATCTAGCTTACAACGTATTGCTCTGCCTGTTGCTGAATTGCTGCTCTGTCCCAGCAGGTGCTGTACCTTAGCCTCTGCCTAGGAGCACAGAGAAGATACCAGCTAAACTACAGCATGGATTAGAGAGTATCATTTACTAGCTTGCTTTCTTTTGGAAGCAAGACTGAGTACAACCGACATCTCAACAGGTATATATCCCCCTGATTTAACCACCCATAGGTCAGAGGTAGCCATCTTCCACTACTTTAAAGGTGGTCCTGACTCCAGGCCCATCAAAGAAAAATGCACACTATAAGAACAACTGTACATTAAACAATGACTTTCATCTCTGCTCTGAGAGAACAACAGACAACCTGGAGAATTTCTTCATATTAATTTTTGTGAGTCTTGTCATGGTGGCGGTGTTTTCTTCTGCTGCTATCTACCCTGTTAACAGGAACTTAATGCTGGGGTTTGAATTCACTGAAATAAAGTAGCAACTGATAATAGCTACTACCAAACAGTGACAGAGGAATAGTGAATAGGAATTACCTTTACATATTCTGTTAGTTTTATTTTGTCGTGGGTTTTTTTCCAGACTCTTCAAACTTGTGAACCTAAATGTGCCACATTCTACATTTAAATCCTTAAGATCCCCTTAAGAGTTAAGAATGTTAATCATTCTCATTTTACAAATAGTGGACTGAGACACAGAAAGACATAAATGGATCTGCTCAAATTAATTTCAGAAGCCTGGAACAAAGTTTAGATTTCAGAGATACCAGTGTAACACCACAGAGACATCTCTCCTCTATTTATTATGTTAAGAATGGCAAAAAAAGACAACGTAACGCTCCATCATTAACCAAGATTAAAAAAAAATCCAACCTTATACAATACAAATAATTGAACTGGCACTGTCACAAAGAAAACAGCGCCAGTCTTTTTCCTTGTCTTCAAAGTTCTAGCCACACACAGGAATGTGAGAATACCTCAAGCAAAACTTGATACCAGCAACTTCAAAAAGGAACTTGCTGTCATGAGATTACAACCCACCACACTGGGAAACCCATCTTGCATAACGAAGGTGTGTTTTAGTCAAGCATACTGAGCTGAATATTATAGATGATGGAACTGCTCAGAGGGTGTGAATCTCTTGACATTCTCTTTGAGTTCACAAAACTATTTCAGGCATGTTAACCTCACACACTCCTTTTTTCCCATCCCAGCAGGGCAAATTAATTTAAAGAGCCAAGAGGTGGTACTTTCAAAAGAGATCAAAAATTTGATAATTCTCGATCTGTGGAAACAGCTCACAGCACCTGGTTTTCTGAGGCTTTACCTTTTCAACAGGAAAAATAAAGAGGTCTCTCAGATGCAGGGCTCTCAAAATTGGACTTGTTCAACATTCACCACTCTCCTTGAAAGTACTGGCAAAGATTGACACAAAAACCTCCTCTTACATTTTACTGCCAATATTCTCCCTCTTCCTATTTCCTCTCCGATTTCATTCTCTTCCTCTTCTCTCCCAGAACGTCTCATTAGTAGGATTCAGCTAAAGCTTTCCAGCACACAGCAGTTTAGGAGAATCTGAAGACAGGCAAGGCATGTTGTTCACGTCACAGTGAACCTGCCTGCTCTTTGAGAAGGGCAGCAAAAAGAAAAGAGGCAAAAGACTGGGGGAGTTTTTCTGCATAAACACAAGTCAAGCAACAAGATACCTTCAAAGGCTACGAGAGAGATGTGAGTGCCCTTCTTCCACTGATTAGAGTATGAATTCAGCGCTCCAATCTGCAAACAAACCCTCTGCTCACAGGCTCTATTCCCTGCTGCAGACAGAAGACGTGGGTGTGAAAGCCCTGCTCTTTTGCATGACGAGGCAAGACTTTTCACTAGTTTTGGAGACAGCTGAGTAAAAAGCAATTTTAAGTTAGCAATGTTCATAGAGCAGAGAAAGAAAATGGAGATAAAAACTATACTGAAAGCCACACGCAGGAGACCACAATGGGAATTCACCCAGTAGCAAAGTTCTTCCTCCACTTTCCAGAGAATGGGCATTTTATCCGGAGAGCAAGTTACGGAAATAAGGGATAGGAATTGTAGAGTTTCAGCAGACAGTTCACTGAATTTCTTTGTCTCAAGCAGCCTTGGCAGTAATGTGGTGCTATTTCATGGCACTTTACACCCTAAGAAGTAAGCAACATAAAAGTATCTTCCAATGATGTTAGTATACTTCCTCTGTCGGTATTTTTCCCCGATCACAGACAGCACATAAGATCTGCTGACTGCCAAGGTTGACTGGCTATGCCAATTTCTTCCTCCTGCACTAGTGTGCATCAATATGGTGGTGTTCAGAAAAACAAAGGACAATTATTTCCAGCTTTTAGTCTGATTTTCTAAAATAGGACTGGACAAAAATACCTTTTGCCAGCACTGCCAGCTAGAAAACAGAATTGGTCTCTGACTCTGAGTCCTTAGAAGGGATGTTTTAATGTACCATCAACTACAGGACATAAAAATACTTTCATTACTATCTTTAGAGAGATATATCAGGGACGAGTTCAAAAAGATGGACTGAAAAAAACAGAGACCAGAAGTTTAGACTCCTCTGTAAGCAGTGAACATTTTTTATTTTTCTTTTAAATTAAATCAGCAAAAACAGAGTTTATTGGCAAATCTCTGAACTTCTGTTACCAAATGATAATATGTGAGAAGTGAAGTTCTTCTTTCCGCAGTATTTTTTTCATTCTGCTCAGCATTAGACTGGAAGAATGGAAATCAGTTCCTTAGAAAAGCCACAGTTCAGGTTTAGTTCAAGAGGACAGGGAATATTTCAGAGAAGTAACTACTTGAGCTAAAATAGCCTCTCACATTAGTTGCACAAAATTGATGATCAGAAGGCACTGCAGAAACATTTTTGTGTGCTTGTACATCGGCTTCTATGCAGATAAACATTAGAAAATGTTACTTGTTACACTGGAGAAACGGTAAAAAAATAAAGCTTGCTCAACTCAGCTTTTTCATCCTTTCCTGGGGGAAGCTGGACAATGACTTAAGTTGCCTTAATAAGCCGATGTGTCAGTAGAAGGCAAGACAGTTTGTTTCAGCAAGATTCCCACACTGTGTGAAAGCATATTTGTAAACATCAGGTTTCACAGCCTCTGCAATCTCTTACAAAGGAGTCAAGCCTCTATCTATTTTCATGTAGCTATGGTACACTTCATCGTTTCTTCTTCATAATTTCTTTTAAATCCATAACCTTAATGCATCCTTGCTGATTCATTCATAAACACTGCATATCTCATATTCTAGGAATACCTGGATGCTAAATAGCAGCTCAAACCTATTCTAATGAGGAGTAATATTTTGATCTCTGAAATATCCCCAGAAATGAGTAGAAGTTATTATTACAATTTGATGAGCAAACCAAGATGGTATATTTGAGCTTTTGGGTCAAATAAATTGCAAAGATGAAAAACAAATCTGGAATCATAACTATCAATTTCGTGCACTAGCAACCGGCCAAAACCCTGACTGAACTTCGAACAGAAAGGCTAATAAATCTGACAGAATAGCTTTTTAAAAAGAATAATAATAATAATATGTCCTATCTACATTCCCCAAAGGAAGGAAAAAAAGGTAACAATTTGCTAAAGAAAGCTTATCCATATAGTTTAAACAGAACAAATGTTAATTTCTTAAATGAGAAATAAATGTAATCAATTTTTTTTGCAGTGAATTATTTTAGTTACATTGAACTAAGAATACTAATCACAAGTTGCTGACAATAATCCTACAGCTACAGATGTCATATCTGCTAGACCTTTATTTGCTTGACAGAAGACAGAAATAAGACTCTTACTGTAAAGTTCACCATGAGCCTCCTACTCTGTACTCAAAATACCACCTACTACCTACCAATAACACTAACATTCACTTATATCCTACGTTGAAAGCAAAGGAAACAAATTATTGCACTCACACTACTTGAAAGGTTCTGTACTGTCCTGTAACATCTGTGAACAGATTAATTCACTGAAACAAAATTATTTTTTCTCTCTAACTAAATGCAACAGAACTTCCTTGGACCAGAAATTAATCAACATTGCTGCACTGCTCTAAGTTTAAAATAAAATAAACCAATGTCAAACACACACTGTTAGAAAAGCATCCTCAACCTTACAACCTCTTCACTTCCAAGACAGTAACATCCTTTACATCCGATTTCGTCTCTCAGTAACCTCCTCCATGTACAATCTCCTTTACAAGGCAGGTTCTAACACCAGAGTTCATCAGTTGTTATTAAACAAACTTACCCCCTTCAACCTCTTTTTCTCCAGGCCGCTGTCTCCAGCAGATCTGGAGCATGCCTGATTTTCTATTTGGCTGTATTTGCCTCTAAAGAAAACTTCTCCCTGCCAGCACAATCTCTCATCTGCTCAGAGAACATCATCACCGTAACACAACAGCATACCTTGGAGCATTCCATTTAGTTGTTCTTCCTGACTAGCTGGCCTGGCAGCTACTCTGTGTGCCAAAAGCTTCTGCCCTAGCCTAGAAAGGAAAAGGCCTGCGCAGCAGCTTCAAAGAGTCTCTTTCTTCTCAGGTCAGATGCAGGAAGCTATACTTATTAATATAGAAAGATTTAGCTGGGTCTAGTATAATGTGCTTCAGTGGCCACCCTGACTGTGCTAATCCTGCTCTACTGCATATCTTGCTGCCATGGAAATGATTAATTTATTTACATGAAACAAAATCAGCTGCAGGGTTGTTGTTGTTTTTGCGGGCTTGATTTTTTAGGGAGGGAACGAGGGTTAGAAGCCCTAAAGGCTCTAGGAAGGCTTAGAGTGCATTCAGGTTAACTACCGATCTTGCCAACCCTTTATGCACATGAATATCCAGGTGAAGTACAAAGCATCCAAAAGGCTAATTTTCTGTATCTTCAGGTGTTGGCAACTTCACTGTAACTGTAAAATAAGTTCTTGAAACTAATTCAGGACCAGATCTTAAATGTTCCTTTAGTTACTCTGTCAACCCCTTTGGAACATAGAGCCTTTAAACAGAATTTGAAGGAACTGCTGTTCTTCAACCGGCTTTTAAGCTATGACTAACTGTAAGACTAAATAGATCCACTGAGTTCAATAAGCTAATAATCTGTTTGTAAACACAGCAGAAGTTTAAATATCTCCAGGACTAGTTGTTCTTTGCTGTTTCCATTCTACCTAGAATTTATGAATATCACATTGCACCTTATTTGTTTTAGCTCCAGATCTCTATGAACCACCAGAGATCTGTAATCTTGTTCTTCAACAATTGACAGAAATCTATAATGGGATTTCATAGCTGATTTGGATAAACAACAGCTCTAGAGACAGCGTTCAAAGAATGCTGTCACTGCAGCCAGGAAAGGGAAGAATATTAGTTTTGATTGATTTTACATCTTTAAAAATAGGTATTTTGAATCCGAGAAATGTATCGGCTTATAAACCTTCTATGGAACAACAAAAATATCTTTAGAGATTAACAAGGATGTCTTGAAATGGAGAGCTTTTTTGCAAAAAAGCAAGGAATAATTCACATTCTCTCTGTCTGCACAAAAAGAAAAAAATAATTAAGAAGTCATAAATATATGGCATCGCAGCCTGCCTTTGCATTAACTTTGATGAATTCCTATGCTGCCCATAGACTATGTAATTACATAGGAATTCCTTTACAATTGAGCTTTAGTGACATGCAAACTCATTAGGAATCTATGCTGGAGGTATTTTGTTACAATATTCACACCATTACTTTATTTATAAGTAGACAGTTGTACATTGCTTTGATCTTAAAATGTGATCATTCTTGGTATTGAAAGGAAAGAACAGGAACAGAATTTTTCTCTTAATTGGAACAGTGGCTATAGGCAGCTTGGATAGCGACCCCAATAACTTAGCTTGCTTCTCACAGCAGTGATTATATACAACATGATGTTACTGACGAATTATCACTGCTGAAATCACACATACTGTGCTGAAAAACCAATATGTGACTTGCAAAAAAAAAAAAAAAAAAAAAAAAGAAAAATAAAAAAAAAAAAAAAAAAGGAGGTGGAGGGAAGAGAAGATACAAATCTTCTCACCTCGCCAGTCAGCATGTTTCAGGAAAGCCCAGAAATACAGTCAAGTGGCCGGGAAACAGATGCAAACAGTATTTAACAGCTCAATCACTATGCCAGTGTCCTACCTGCTTGTGTTGTCATCATCATCAGAGTCAATGAAACTGCTGGATTCCAGCTCACTACTCATCATGGTAGAAGAGCTGTCATAACCAGGAGGGTGCTCACGGTGTCTGTCCAGTTTTGGATGGCCATTGATCCGAGGGACTGTAAAAACAAAATAAACGGAGCATTACTAGGAAAAGAGGAAGAGCAAGGAAGAAGTGGCACGGTGAGTAGCACGACTTTCACACTGACAGCTGCAGACAACTCTGCAGGAGGATTCTTATGCTGAAATCAAGCTCTTTGCAGAACCTGATTTCATTCAATAGCTGGAAAGCCTACTTCCCTGGCTGGCTCGTCTGCTCACCTACCTTTTTCCTAACTTCTTCATTTGTCTATGGCTCAGTTCATGGGCAAGCCATAAACAGATGCAGGCAGAAGTAGCAGGCATGAACAAGTACCTGAACATCAATTGGAATGGCCATGAGAAGTTGGTGTTAATAGGAAGGTACACGTGAGGATCTTGGAAAAGCGGCAGATAACACAATTTGAGCGTGGTATGGATAGGCTTAGCAGCACAGAAAATGTTAAACAACATTGCTTGATAAATTCTATTAATATCTCGCCCATAAGACCACCTTTCCCTCAACTTTCCTGTGCTACGTGTTCCTGTTCCCATATCCACACGACCTTGTCTTGGCAGTACAGCTATATCAAAGTCATGCTGTCTTGACCATTCCACATGCATAAAATGCTTCAGAACAATTTCTTACTAATCCCTAGCTGTGCAAATGTTGTCAGACACATAAACATTCCTGTAGATAATCCCCTCCGTAAGAATGCCATTTACTTGAAGGCAGCAGTGATTCATCTTTTTCTGAAGACATTTTACGCATTTTCCTCTGCAAAGCAAACTCCTCTGCATGCTTCCTTTCAGGGACCTCTCATTAGGAGACCCATAATCTGTAAGTGCTCTATTTTGCCAGGAATGTTCCTTTCCCTGAAACAAGAAAGGCTCAGTTTGATAAGGCACCTGGTCAAGAAATAAACATAATAGGCTTCAAAGACAGACTGATATTTTAAAACACACTCTCCAAACTCACAGCTCCCTCCCAGGTTCAAGGGATCTGCTCTTCAATTGCAGAATAGAAAACCTTCGTAGAGGAGGAATGTCTGCAGTAGGAATTATACACGATGCTGTCCAACTGTATACATTGAAAGTTAATTGACAGTTCTTGCTAACTATTAAAGTAACATGGTTTGAAAAACCAAGAACCACCCTAAATACCTGGCTGTGAAGTCCACCGTGGCTAGCCTTCATTCCTCTGTTTCAAATTGCTCAGCAGTGAAATAAAAAAATATTATCAGTTTTCTTCCCTGTGCCTAATTATTTACATCCATAAAGGGTTTTATGAGGTTGAGTAAAAGGTAACAGCCATATATAAGATCTCATCTCAGTTTTTCATACATATACCTAAACCATTCATTTCAGCAAAACTAAATAATTGAAGCATAAGGCTGCAATAAATTCTCCTGCTATGTCACTTCAATATCCCGTTTCATCATCCAGCTTCTAGGTATACAAAATGGCTCTCAAAACACCTAAGCTGGCTACCCAAGAAGACCAAATCTTCTTTCAAGTCACAGAGTAAAAACAAAGCTCCTTCCCTCCTGCAATAGCACAGAGCTTTGGTTTGAAGAGAAGCTGAACAGTACCAACCCTTCATCACCCTTCTCAGAACTGGTATTTGTTTTTCACCCTGCCATATCCTGAAGGGCAGTTGAGATGATACCATTTATTCAAGTCTTGAATCCTTTTCTGAAACGAGCACATACTAGTAACAATGAGTCAGGGACTGACTGCTGTCCTCTAGGAACTGCCTCAAAGGCTGTGTGGTGTTAAAAAACCCGAAGCTTATGAGGTTTCAGCTTCAGGCTCTGCCTCCAGAGCTCCTTACTCCCAGCATTTCCATCTCTCACTCCCCCATGTGTAAAATGGAGACAGAACAGCATCTGTCAGAGCTTTTTACACCGCACATTCTACAGTATAGAAATCCTCCCATAATCTGGTCATCACAACTACCATAATATGCTCCCAGTATTGGGTGGTAACACTAGATCTCACTGAAAAACTAATAATCAGCTTGTCAACAGCATCTCAAGACTTCAGAATGACAACTCTTCATAGACACAGTGGGAAGAAAGCATTTAAGGGCCTGAACTTTCAGTTCTGTCTGAATAAATGAGTGTTCATTGGTTTCCTCAAACTCTACAGTTTAATATAAACTGGAGATTGACTATTATTGTGCTTCTTTTGGTACCACAGATAATTACATGAAAATAAAGTACCTTCAGGAATCCCACATCCACACTCGAATTAGTCTCCTAGTTCTGCCTTTAAACTAAAATCTAAGGAGCAGTCAATTATGCTTGCACATGCCAGATGTATACAGATAAAAAGAAACACAGAGGCTGGCCAAATTTTACTCATTCTAAGCTGGCACTAACAGCTTAGGGGGAGTATCTCAACCAGATAGTGCAGAAACCAATACAGCTGTTTACAGCATTGTTACTGAGGAGGTAAAGACTATATTGCATTGTTTCTTCTCATTGGGAACAGGCAATTTTGACCTTTGAGAGTCAAGGTAAAGTAATCTATTCTACAGAGTCCCTGAACATTCAACCCGGATATTCATCCAGGCTTTAAAAAAAAAAAAAAAAAAAAAAAAATCCAATTTTTCTTTCAAAGTTGCTTTCATCCTTAACAAAAACAGGGAAAAAAAGGAGAAGAGAAATGACATCCACATTCTAAAGCTGAGAAAACAGTACTTTTCAGCAAATTAGTAGGCTTTAGACAGTCAAGAGTGCTGCCTTTTAAGACTAAGGCGAATGTCACAGACTCAAGCAATTAAAATTCCTCCTTTTCTTGTGCTACAAATTCATTTTTTAAGTGTTTATATAGTGTACCCTAGACTTCAAAATATTTCACTAGATCTGGAAACCTGGATGCCAATCACAACATTGGACAAATTCAACTCAATCTCTTCAGCCTCAGCTTAAATATAAAATCAAGTCCAGCCACCTTGTCCATTTATTTTTTGCTTCTACGCAGTGAAACATCAGAAACTGTGGAGTGAATTAAAGCCTCTTATTCCAACAGATTGCATTCACTGGAAACAGGAGCGGAACGGCCAACAATTGACATTGGCACCACTATCTAGCAGGCAGATCACTTTCAAGAAAGCAAAGCATTCCATACTCTGAGCTCATGAACCCTTTGTCTCCTTTCTGAACACACTTCACCTTTGAGCCTAACTTCAGGAGCAATTGTTGGCTTGCGACGGTATCATCATCAACAAATCAGTATGTTGGACTACCAGAATGCACACAACACTATCACCCTTACAAGTTCCGCACAGTTTTCCTGAAGAGGGAATAATAACCAAGAAAAGGCGGTGACGTACGTACAACTGTTTGTGACCAAGTTGAGTTATGATGGACAGAGACTCTCAGCAAATGCAAACCCAATACAGTCCCAAGCAACTTCGAGGTGGCTGCTGATCAATCGATGGTCCTGCTTCCACTGACGTTTCCTTTCCAACTTTAATAGGAAGTGACAGCAAATCTTAGAAAGCTGGCACACAATTTACAATAAATCTATTATCTTTGCCCCTTCTGAATTTTAAATTTCTTGTCTTCATAGAGGAGCAGTATAAAAGCTAGAATGGATGGAAGTCAAAACATCTGCCATGGAGAAAACTGAGATTTCTCACTTGAAAAATCCCTTCTTTTTTATTACTGTGCTTGTTTTTCCTGCCTTCCTCTGCCATTCATCACTTGCAATTTATAAAAGCAATCATATCAATGCTGGGTGATAATGTTGATTTCATTTGGAGAAACTGATGCTAAACAGAGCCCTGATATTAAAAACAAGGCCCTGCCAGAAGGAGCTTTCCCAGCTCTGATTGGGTGGGCAGCAGATTACAGAAAACAATGACCTGGATTTTATCCACATGTAACTGGTATAAATAGGAAGCAAATTTGGGCAGTGCGCTTCTCTCATCAGACATACTTTATTTACATTTGGCTTTGATTATTATTAAGTATACAGCCCAGAAAGAATGTTGCCAGCATGATTTTGTCATCTTTCTCTGCAAAACTAGTCTGTTTATGCAGCTGGGGAGGGAGGGAGGGTGCCTCTGGTCATCAATAGGCGGGTTGTCTCAAGTGCCCATTAGAAATCACCAGCCCTGTCTCTCCCAGCACAGGTCATCATTATTAGACAATGCAGATTGTTCATTTCATTCCAACTGGGTGGTCTAAAAGCTTTCACTCCTGTGGACCTTTTCCACTCTAAAACTCCATCCTGCATTCACTTCTCTGCTGAGAATTCTGGACATCATCAATTATGCAGCATTAAAGGTAGGTATCTACAGATGGCAATCTCCAAGCTCTCAACCGGCCCTTGCACAGCTGGCAATGAGGATTGCTATGAAACCAGGACACGTTTCAACGTGTCACATCTCATCAATTGCGAGTTATTTATTCAGAAATTTTTTGTCCTTAAAAACTGTATAAGCAGAATGCTATTTTAAGGAATCTGCAATTCAGAGTCATTTGCCTAATATTTTCAACAGACTAAATCTTTCTGTAACCCAGCTGAATTTTTTTTCCTGTCTCTAACCACTGGACACCACGGTCAGCAGTTCTGTGTTTTTTCACTACTAAGAAATTTCCCAACCTCAAATCTGAATTTGCCTCTTGCTAGCATCCTAAAAGATCATTCTCATGCTATCTCTAAGCAAGCTTCCTTCAAAATTTATATTTATGGCACTAAAGAACAAAGTAATTCAGCCGTCACCCAGCTCTAAGTGCTTAGCATTGGGCTCAAATACAAGCTTTCTGACTCTATTGTATCGTTCTTATCAGCGTTTCTTAAAAGAATTGCTCTTCCTCTCCTGCTTGGCCTAAGATACATGAAGGATTACAGCACAGCAGGCACAAAGAACACGCTGTGATTATTTTGCAGCCTACGTAATTATTGATAAGAGCTGAAACTTTTTGGCTTTCCAGAACATCCTACAGTTTAAATTTCCCCAAAGTACGTGTTTGCTGCTGTTTCAGAGACTACAAACTTGAAGCTAGGACTTGTGTTCC